GTCTGTGTCGTTGATGAAGATATTAAACAATATCGGATCTCTGAGGGACAATACAGATCTCTGAGGGACATCACTCATCACCTACCTCCATCCAGACATTGAGCCTTTGACCACTACCCTCTGGGTGCGACCATCCGGCCAGTTCCTCATCCACGGAACAGTCAATCCACCAAATCCGTATCTCTCCAATTTAGAGAGAGGGATGTTGTGAGGGACCATGCCAAAGGCCTTACAGAGGTCAAGATAGATGAATCAGTAGCTCTTCCCTTGTCTGCTGATGTAGTCACTCCATCATATAAGGCCACTAGGTTGGTCAGGCAGGACTTGCCCTTGGTGAAGCCATGCTGGCTGTCTCAAATCACCTCCCTGTCCTCCATGTACCATAGAATAGAATAGAATGGAATGGAATGGAATGGAATGGAAGGGAATAGAATAGAATAGAATAGAATAGAATAGAATAGAATAGAATAGAATAGAATAGAATAGAATAGAATAGAATAGAATAGAATAGAATAGAATAGAATAGAATAGAATAGAATAGAATAGAATAGAATAGAATAGAATAGAATAGAATAGAATAGAATAGAATAGAATAGAATAGAATAGAATAGACTATTTCAGTTGGAAGGAACCAACAGTGATCATCTAGCCCAACTGCCTGACCAATTCAGGGCTGACCAAAAGTTAAAGCATGTTATTAAGCGCATTGTCCAAATGCCTCTTAAACATGGACAGGCCTAGGGCATCGACCACCTCTCTAAGAAGCCTGTTCCAGTGTTTGACCACCCTGGCGGTAAAGAAATGCTTCCTAATGAAGCTAATGGCAGGTACGGCGGCAGGGTTTCTTTTCAGTCCAAGGTTCACCTTGCTCTCTTCTCTACTTTTAAGGACAAACCTTCTCGCTGCTTTTTTTTTTCTTAATCCTCAGGAATATTTTTAGTGTTCTTCTCTAATACAAATTATGGTCCGATTCCTGCACTCATCTGGGAGTTTCACTAAGACGTTTCACCATGGCTAAGACAAAGAACAAACTCGTAATACTTCAGTCTTCTCTTCCTGGAACACAACACAGATTAGGCTATTGGTCCTGCAGCATGGAATAAGCTGGGAAATAGGCTGTGGGTTTGGGTAGCATATGAATTTTGTGGACTATAGTGACAACAGCTTCTTGGGCATACAGCGGCAATGACACAGTTGAGAAAGTCACATGTGTGTCTATGGTCTGTTCTGCTGATCAGTTAACATTCAGGTAAGAGGAAGAAGGCATACTTTCTCCTCCAGCTTCCTGGTAATCTCACAAATATATATATGGATTTAATTAATTTTCATAACTGATAGCACACGAATAGATGTTTTTGAGCAAGTCAGAAGAGACATTTGGTTAACTCTGGGATGACAAAGGACAAACCCAAGGACTGTTTCTTCAGAATCGGAAAGGAAAGAATCACAAATATCTGAACTGAATAATCTGCTCCAAGATACCAGTCTCCAAAAAGCAAGGACAAAGCGCTGTTGGCAACGTCATGGTAAGCCAGGACAAGACTGCATGAAAGAGGGCATTGGCTTCCAGTTCAGGTAGATGATGTGACTGATTGTTACCATGGGAATGAAATTGGTACAGGGAGATGAACACAGAGAAGTCTTCATAGGGAACAAGAAACACACAAATGACAGTTTATGACCTCTACGTTCACCATCTAGATAACATCCACTATTGTCCCTATTACTGAAGTCCTTTTGTGTTGCGCTTTCTCAGTGTGCCTGTTTCATCTGAATCACTGGCTTTTTGCTTTTTCAGTGCTGTATTTTCATTTTCTGACTCCACAGACAGGTCCTCTTGGGTTGACTCTTCTGCTTCACTGCAGCTCTCACAGTGGAATCCAGCATTCTCCGCTACAACAGCAGGATCATCATCCTCGTAACAACAGCAGCACCCCTCAATGCTTTGGCTGTGATGAAGGTCCCTCTCCTCTTCGCTGATGCCAGTTACTGCGTCCTTTTTCTGTATTAAATCATGACTGCCCCTTCCCACGGTGACATCAGTTAGCAAGCTTTCATTGCACAGATGCTCCTCATCTTCCATGCCCTCCACTCTTTCTGCAAGCTCTTCTGCAGAGGGCTGGCTCAGGTCAGGGTAATCTACAAGGATTGTGTCCCGTTTGCGCTTGAAGCAATCAGAATTATCATAGACAGGGTAGGTCTCTTCTGGATAACCTTAGGAATAAAGTGATATGCAGCTTGAAGTGTTACCAGCATTTAAAAGTAGTACTGACTTCAGTGATGGATGCACAAGTTTGTTAGAACACTGTTAGCACTGCCAGTATAAGTGTCATCTATTTAATGCCATGTATATGTCACAGTATTAAATCCATGGCAAGAATGTGCAAAACATGACTTCTTGGGAGATGATGAGAAAACGCCACTTACTTTTAGGGAGCAAGGATATCAACCCTGACTTTCAGGAATGAATATCTGAGCTTTCCTGAAAGCTATGGGAGCTAACAGGTGAAAATTGCGTGTCTTAGATCCTTAAATAGATTCCTTTTTTTTTGTTTCTGTCTACAGATTGACTGATTCATGTTTTGAAGACTTTAGCTATAAACAGCATTATTTATAAAGCTGAAAAAACAGACATGTCAATGACTTTGTGCATTTCATTTTAGAAAATGCATCATGAACTTGACTTAAGAAAACAGAGCTCGAGGCCAGTGTTTATGCTTTGTGTTTTGGATCATTTTTGAAAGCTTCTTAAAGAGCAAGGAATTAAGTCTGCATTTAAAATTATGATAGTGAGCAGCTCAACTAGGATATCTTGAAAACACATTTATGTAACAAATAAACACCAAGGCACAGAAAGGACATGAAAATAAAGAATTTTTAAAAGACAGACTTCCTGGAATTGACTTTTACAACACTGGAGCAAACAAAGAATGACTAATCAAAAGTAAAAACTGTAAGTTATCCAAAACATATCGATTCTGATTTCCAAGGGTTTTATGATTTTGCATGAAATCTAGCCCAGCAAAGAAAGGGAAAGATATAAACCTACAGCAGCCAAGACCCAGCAGCAGATGGAGCATATGTGAATATTCATATGCCACTTTTGGCAGCAGATAGTGTAGTGTTTACACTGAAAGAAATGCTGGATGCCTCAAAATCTATTTTCTTTCTATTATGGTTGGGAAAACAAACCACCTCTTGCAAAGTTTTGAAAACTGACTTCTGAAAAGGAAGGATAAAGTTAACAGAAAATTTTGAAAGGATCTGGGACTGTAAGTAATCCTTATTCAATTTTTCTCATCAGGGTAATGGTAAGAAAGGCTCTTGCTTACCTTCCCAGTCCTCCATGTAAGGAGCTTCTTCAGCTTCCTTCTCAGGAGAGATGCCATCTATGAATTTTCCTTCTTTCATAACTCTAGTAATTTCTCGGAGTTGCTGAAGTAACCTTTTTTCCTGGTCTGTGGTAACATTTTGCATCCTGCTAGAAAATATTAGACACCAGAATTCAGTCCACTATTACTACTATTAACAGAGTTTGAACCCAACTGTTTGGTCCATCTCAGCAGCACAGTCTGAAGAAACCTGGATGCAGTATGATCCCTATTCAACATCTGCATGTGGTCTGCACTTCAGCTCAAGTATAAAGGTTTATCTATTTATCCAGAAAGTCTGCAAACTTAAGCAGGTAAAGGAAGGCAGGTACAGCCAATGCGAGAGCAAGACGAAAGTGACACACAAGCAAGACTTACGGTACAAAAGGCACTACAGAAATTTCTGGCCTTTTAAAAGTGTTAGGTGAGAATTAGAAGGCCATACCTTTATAAGGCATTATAAGAAAATGTAATCCAGAACCTATGCTACATTTAAAACAACTTTTGGGGCTGATCAAAATGTCTCACACAGACACTATTCTCAAGAGTCTAATGATCCCTAATTATGACCCTTAAAGGTATTAAATTTGCAAGGCCTCATTAAGAAATATCAGTTGGACAGATCATCATGTTATTATAGAGAGTCAACAATGCTGCCTGGTAGGGAGGTGGGGGGAGAAGCAGGAAGGAAGATTTTAAAATGAAAAGAAGGTGTTACATTTAACTTTAAATTGCCCTTTAGAATCAGAGGGAGAGTGGGAGACGACAGAGATTTTTATCAGATTAAAAGCAAACTGTAATTTTGACTGGTTCTACACTGCTGATCCTAATAATTACTACTGCTCAGGTTACACAATTACTGTTGTAACAAAAATGCTTCCAACAGATAAGATCATGTAGTCATTACGTGTTATTTTCTCTGGAAAAAAACCCAGTCTCCTAAAAATCTTATGGACAATAAAGAAGTATTTGGAGGGTGGTGATCTGAGCTCTAACTAACTCACTCAGTAGAATAAGACAGACACTGGCTGTACTTAGGGGTGAAAATGTTCTAACTGTTGTGCTTGTTTCATCTTGAGTTTCAAGTTGTTCTTGAGCAGGTGTTTGATCTCTGTGTAGGTGTCAGTTCAAGCCTCTCAGGGGACGGAAGCACTACTCTGGCGCTTTTTTGAATCTCACTGTGTTTTAGGCAGGATCTATTGCTCCTAGTACTCAGAGAGGGTGGCCCTCGGCATGCACAGAATGCTGAACTGTAGGCAGTACGTGAGGTCAGACAGATGATCTCTGGCGATCTCCAGACCATCAGACAGACAGATAATTGCCAAGATTAGACAGCTGCTCAGTGAATATTAGGGGTGACATGGGAAAAGAGGAGCTGGAAACAGAGTAATGATTTTGGATTTAGGTGATTAGTATCTACCTAAACCTTGTTTCAGGTACCTGAATTCTCATAAACCTGAGAACTTGCAGTATCCATCTTCAGCTTTTCCTCTTACTGTCGTAATTAGAGCAGCACTTCAATAGGTACTTTGTGCTACTCTACATATATGGCAATGATGGTGACACGATAGTTACTCAACTAAAGGCAGCAAAGTCATACTGGTTTAAAGCCAAAGAGATCAGCATCATACTGCTGGTTTGTGCAATGGTGATCGAAGTGCTGACCCTGGGTTAGATTTTGTGCACAGCTGCACACACAGTTGTCTGTAACTGAACTTAGCTCAGGAGCAGGCCCACTGGTTTCATTAGCAGCTACCCAGATTAAACTGTTTGACTGAGATCACAAGGCTAAACATCACTTCTCTCCGCTTCCCCTGAGGGACACTTTGCCCCACACTTTGAAAAGCTGATAGGTCCCAATGCTATATGGAGGTTGCCCTGAGTCCCCTCATGTTGCGGTGGCAGTTTGTTCCACAGAACAAGTGATGGTGTGAGACAGCATTTTCCCAAAAGCCTGGGTTATGCAGATGTAGAATTTGAGATGTGAATGAAGAGGCACAGAAAAAGAAATGGTTTCATCAGCTAGCTGCCTTTGACAGAAGCTGTAATAGAACTGCCAAACTAATCTTCCTTTTATAGACAAAAGTGTATGTAATTTGAATATATATCACCTGGATAAAGACAGAGAGGCCTGTCTGTTTAGCACAATGGGGAGATATGCTAGCTGAGATAAAAGGATCAATCAATGCAGCTGCATCACTGTGGCATTTCATATAGGAAAATTCCTAATATGCTGGACACTCTCATTAGAAAGCACTACTGTCTTATTGCAACACAGTGTCTCTGTATTTCAGAGTATTCCTCCTCCAGATACCTTGCTTAAAAGATAAATTTCCCTGTAGAGAGGGAGAAACCGAAGCCCATGTACTATTTCTACTTCATTTAAGGTCTCTAGGAAGACTTACTGTAGGATGCTGGCAGTGTATAAGACATCTGGCTGCCTACATACGGGAGATTTACCAGGGTATAATGCACTTACGAATACTAAGAGGACAACAGATGCAAAAGGTTTACAGTGTAAGAAAAGGTCATTATTTTTGCTCTGTGTGTTTGTAGCTCCAACATAGCTATTACTTTTCATAGTGGCAATGCTTATGTTTTGTAGAGTCCCAAAGTGCTCACTAACAGGTAAAATAAAGGTTTCTTATTCTTACACTGAGATCAGAACATTCCTAAAGAGCTCTCATGACTGCAGTGAAAATCCATAATCTAACATGGTATCTCAGACATGTCAAACAGTATTTTTTTGCTTCATGATCTTAAAATAATCACTATTAAAATGCAGCTATAGCCCAAAAATGGCACCCCAGAGAGTGGGGGTTCCATATCACATTTGCTTAGTTTATGGTAAAAAGGTAAGTTTTTCAAATTGACAGCCTGGTAAACAGGACTTTAAAAACATGTAATCAAGCTGCATTATTTCTACCTCTTACCTAATTACCAGAAATTGAGATTTTTTTGTACAAGAAAGTATTGTACAATACTTCCATTGAGAAAAATATTTACAAGTATTCTTCAATTTAAAGTGGTTTCAAAATACCAAATTTCACAGACAGTGGTGAAAAGAATATGGGTAAGACATCTGTGAGAATGGGTAGGGAAATCTCTTGTACCCATTGTATCACTGTCCCAACATTGAAACACTCTGCTAAAAGCCTGGAAGAAAGCAGTATGCATGCTTTTAATGCAGAGTGCCCTATATAACCATCAATCAAGTCTTTATTTCTGAATCATCAAATTCCCAGCAAGGCTCCTCATCTCTGCTGAGAGATACTGGACTATAAAGGTCTACATTTGGAAACTGAGGTCCCCTTAGTGATAGGATGTGATGATAAATTACAAAACTGTATAATTTAAATTTATAACCTGTTGAAAAAAGAGGTGGGAAGAGTGCTAGATTTTCTCAGAGCTGGGAATCATTATATCCTTAGATTCTACGTACTACCCATTTAAGTGTGTGCATTAGGTAACAATTATCTTTGTCCATCTCTCAGTGTAGGTTTGGTTACATTGCTGAGGACCTGGCCAGGTAGTTCTTTCTTCCTCTTGCTTTCTTTACCTTGCTTCTAGTCCTTGCTAATACATACTAGGCCTTATTAAAAGTATCTGTACTTGTACTTTTTAGAAGTTTTGCATTTCTGCAAGGGGGTTTCTGTACTTAAGGCTGTAGCAATTCCAACTGGTATGCTGGTTTGGAAGGAAGTCTCTTTGGTTGGTTTGGAGATTGGTCTTCTAGCCTCATAAAAAAAAAGCAAATCCAAGTTTCTGCCTGCCTACCTTCTACAACACAGGGCTGGATAATACTAGCTATCCCATCTGAGAAAACCAGCTAATAGTACTCAAAGGTCTTCCAGCCTCACTTCACTCAAATGCTTTTGAAAGAAAAAGAAATGAGCAGGACAAGCCACAGCAAGAAAACAAACACGTACACTTGCTACAGAAGAAAGCAGAATAAAATCACACAGCACAGTATATATTATTCCTTTGAAACAGGATTTCTTTCTATGGTACAGCATTATCTGAGAATAAACTATCCTTCTAAACTCATCCGGATTTCAAAAGCAATGTTTTTTTGAAGAAAATATACAAAATTAGAATGTCTTTGGTTTCTAAGAATCTTCACCAGAAGGAGAAAGCCAGGATGAATCCTGGAGCAGTTCAGCCAGGAGGAGAACGCTCCTGAAGTATAGTGAGAGGACATGAGCTCAGACCTCAGCACGATTACAAACACTATGTGGTTTTTGTGACAATGCAAAATACGTCCTCTGGTTTGGTTACTAATACTTCATTTGGCAGGCTGGGAGTTGCTTTGCCATATCTAGTATAATGGGCCATGGTCTCACCTGGGGTCTTTCAGCATTAGTTTAAATTTGATACCAGTTATTTCTTTCTCTGACTTTTCTATTGTAAGGATTTCTGTTTAACTGCATATTAATAAATGGAGCTCAAGTCATTTTTGCTCTCTTCCTCTTTCCTTTTCATTTAAATCTATCAACATCCAGACCGAATAAGCCTAGCATTGTACTCTGTGCTCTAATTACACTTTCTAACTATACATTTTATTTTAAGACATTCATCCAGTATTATGAACTTCATGAGTATCACAGTGTAGATTAAGAAAGCTTCAAAGTCTGGTTGTATTTGAAAAACAGCTATTTGCTCCATCTAGAGGTGCTTTTCCCCTTCTCTTTAAAGAGGCCACATACAAAATTCTTTATTAGATTCAGATGCTGATTTCCCATGAGGCCTTTAGTCCATCTATATAAATAGTTTGGTTGAACAAAGCAGGGAAGTTCTACTGAATAAAGGTTCTGAGCCAATAACACAGAGTGGAACAAATACTGGATCAGACCCTAAACTCATTTTCTCAGTAAAATATATCCTATCCTGAGAGTCAGCACCATATCTGGGCAGCTCATAAGCCTGTTTCTGGCAGCTTAAAGGTACGTGTAGAGCATTGTGTTAGCTCTCCAAAACAGAGATGAGTAATAGTCAAAATAGTATCCTTCTGTTTCACTAACAAAACCAGGGCAGCGTAGGGGTTCTCCCGCTGGAACCTGGCCTAACACAGGCAAGTTTGGCACCTCGTCTTGTTGAGTCGAGTGCAGTGGCAGTACAGGGCACGGTGCAAAGCGGGCATAACTATACGCTCAAAGAGAATGTGGTTTGAAGCATAAAGGAACATAACGTGCAAGTTCGGCACAGAATCGTTCCTACAGAATGGGTTAAAACAGGCATTGACTGATCCAGACAAAGTTAACATGCGTTACAACCTGAACAGCTATCTTTTTTGCTTGCAAACGTCACCTTAATATTCATGGTATTTAGATTTTCAAACACTGCAGTTATGCATTGCCTTATTGATCTGTTGTTACACTCCTTATGAAAAACATAGATTTGTTTCCAGTGTTTCTTTATAATGTAGAATAGTGATCTCAGATTTATAGCAAACATTAATAAACATAATAAATTTTTAAATCCTGATTTTACAACTCTTTTTTTCTTTTCTATTTAGAAGCAAATGCATGGATTTACTGGCTAGAGGGTGGAACTAAGTTATGGAATCAGATTATTATACAATTCTGCCCTTAAAGAAATATTTTATGGATATTCTAACAGGCATTTACACAGATTATAACAGCATTTCTATTTCGAAAAATAATCCATACAACTGGAAAATAACATAAAACAAATGGGTCTCTTAGGAATCATTCATAATATTACTTTGGTCACATAAGACAGGTTGTTTTATAGACTTTAAATGTAGAAGTTTTATTTTCTGTTTACACATACCTGTAATTATCTTTCAAATAACGCACTGTACAAAGGGGGAAGGTAGGGATAGTTGCTTTTCTGTTTAAGGAAAATGAAGTTGGAAAAAATGATTTATTTTAAATATAGATGCTGAAAAGAGAAAAACTGCAGAACAAAGAGTGTGATGTGTAAAATCAAATTTATACAATTTGAAGTAGTAATAAAAATGCTATTTTAATATAGCCAATGTAAGAAAGTTTAATTTCTAATCAGAGCAGAATCTCTCCTTAAAATGCTGTAATTTGAAACATACCTGTCGCAGTTAGGTCCTACTCTGTTGATTAATTTTTCCATAGCTTCTTCTGTCTCTCTCAGTTTTTCCTGGAGTTGAGTGAGCTCATAGTCAGCTGTAAAACAAAAAATCCCAAGATCTGTCAGTAGAAGCTTTGAAATGTATCCCTGTCCCATTATCACAAGTAGCATATGCTGTACCAAGCCAAACTGCCTGTGAGGAAACTAAAACATGCAGTTTAAAGAGTTCTACCACTTTTCCTGGTATGAGAAGGTGAAGACTATTGCCAATGGTAATAGGACACACAGAAAGCACCTTATTTCAAAGGCTCCCGAGCAACCTCCCAACAAGCAGAGTGAGTGGGCCACTGTAAATGCCCTGGAGATTAAAGTTAGTCTACTGCAGAATTAATAGTTCTCATGGAATTTCCCTGTTAAATCTTTGGGAACAGAGACAAAAGGTCACTTGAGCATTTTCTAACGAGTCTAAGGTTTGAGAAACCACATCTTTATCAAAGAGAATAAAGTTCATGGGCTTGATGGCATCCAACCCTGCACAGGTATGCCAGGGTAGGCAATGAGCGCCAACTGTCTGCCAGGCTCACTGGGATGAACAACAGCTAGCCACATGGTGTCTGTCCGGGGAGCAAAGCACGGTATTTCCATGGTTGCACTTTTTTCAAAAAATGTGTCCATAGTACAATAGTAGACACACATGCATACATGCAGGAACACCCACACTGGCTTTATTTTAGCCGAAAGCATTATCAGTAAAGATGCAACAGCATGGATGTCAACAAAAATGCTTGAGCTCCTTGTTTGGCTTTTGTAGCTCACGCTCAAAATCCTATAACTGAGAATTCATTGTTCCCAACTGCAGAACAAAATGAAACCAGCCTGGGTTAGTTAAATATTCAGCTGCTACAGGCACACCCATTTAAGCGGCACAAAGGCACAATGGAACTGTGACATAGTAGGAATGGAGAAAGCCATCCACAAACATCCTGCTTTTGGGAATATCTCTATTCTGCAGAGAATGTCATTACTTAATGTATCACTGATGTCATTATTTTGCATGTCTGAGACTTTAAAAATAGGGGAAGGGAAATTGGCAAAGAGAAAGGAAGTTACTCCCTCCAAGTCACTATGTAAGTGGTTCTTTGTCCAGCGACTTGTGCCCTGCTCTGCTACAGCTTGCAATGAATGCTTTAGGAATACAAACAAAGAGCTCTAGAAAACGGCAGAATAATTTTCATCACTAGTTCTCTGGGTTATAATGACGGTAAATATTTAACTTACTGCAAAGTTAGTTTCCCTTACCAAGCATTAGAGAAAAAAATACCATTACCATTGCTAATAAATTGCACAAAATTGCCAGGCACAATGCAGTACAAGTGCACTGAAAATACAATCTATAGCACCGAGTACATTAGGTATTCCTAATATACGCATTAATGTCAAGATAATTACAGCTATGCTAAGGGAATTACCTTACTGCTAGCACTTTCTATAAAGCCCTAAGTACTTTTCCTTCCTATTACAATCTAGCCAGCTAAACACAACACATTTAAATACTTTTATGGTAACTACTCATCCAATCTTCAATAGTAAGCTTATTAATTTATCTAATAAATGTCTACAAATAGGTGAATCTATCCCACCGATGTTTAGGTAAAATCACAATAACATTTCAGAATACTGTTTGCTTTCTCATCAAAACTTTGAGCATTGCAAAAAGGGAAGGGAAAAAGTAGCGAAGTGCCTGGTGATGGCTAAGTATTCACAAATTCAAAAAAATGAAGGTAGCTTTTAATAATATCTTTATTATTAAAATATTACGGATTACAGAATAATTATAAATGGACATCCTATTATCCATTTTTAATCATTAGCTACATAGCTTTTCAACAAATCCGTACAGTTAATTCAGTGAACCTCATGAAAAGCCATTGCTTCCAGGGGGGCTTGGGATCACGCTACTATCACAGAGACTCATCAGCTGAATGAGATTAGAAAGTGACGGTGCAGTAATTCACTTTAACTCTTGCTCATTCCAACAGGCTTCTTCTTTACAGGGGGGAACAGCAGCTTTACAGTGTGTCCAGAACTTGAAGAACCTGGTTGGACCGTGGCTCTACAGAGTCAACAGCTACACAGATACAACTCAGAAGTCATACTCACTGATTTTCCTCTTCATGTTTCCAGGTGAAGCAGTAGGGCATTTCCGCTCTCCAGCAATAGTTTTTCCTTTGGAAGCCAGCTGATGAGTGAAAAAAGATGACCCTTCTATGAGTTACAGCAATAGTAATATATAAGCCCCAAAGGCAACAGAAAAGAGGATAGAAAACTAGAATATGCCAGAAAGTAACCACAGAAAAGCATGCCCAGCAGCAAAAACAGACAACCATGAAAGATGCCTAGGAAATCTTGCCAGCTCTCCTAAAAGACACTTGGAACAAATGATATTTTTAAGCAAGTGAAACCATAACTCATCAAAAATAACTTTTTCATTTTAGAATATTTATCTGTTCCAGACTGATCCTGTAATTCTTCTGTGTATAGGAGGGAAAAAACAGTGCATTGGGCAATTACCATGAAATAAAGGACAGGTTCTGAAGGAATTATATGTGACCCCACTTGTCCTTCTTGCAATGTTTTCTGCCATTATTCCTTACCAACTTTGTACCTGCAGCAAAGATACTGGCTGGCTCCATACAGAAGCTGCAGGCTATCTATTTCTTTCGTCTTGTCTGTGTTTGATCAGCTCATCCAATTCACCTCGTTCTTGCCTCTTGTCTGTCCAGAGCAGGCTCAACTGTTTGAACATCGCTCAGTCCGAATTCAGCCCCCACTCAAAGGAAAAAACATTTCCACAAGTCCACTTCTCCCTCCTCCCACACAGCTGACTGTCATCACTTACATGCAAGTCACGTCTGCGTAACAAAAAGCCATGAGAAGTTCAAATCACGTGTGAAACACTTGAAGGGAATTTGGGCTGTGATCTTTTAAACTAGCTTTCAACCCATTCCTCAGCTGGGGTAGTTCCAGCGTGGTCAATACAACCTTACAAACTCCCATTCTCCAACAACATGGTGCTTTTGTTCCAGAAGGTATACAGTAATTGTACTCCCTCTCTCCCACTTTTAATGCATAACACAACGCATGACATATACAATATATATAATATGTAGTCACACATAATAGAAAAGAATACGATGTGTATATTCAAAATTAATCTAACATTGTTCTAGACATACACATTTTCGGGGGGGGTGGGGGGTA